GGGGGGGGGGGGGGGGGGGGGTCACACTGTTCTGGAGTGAGAAAGTTCTGCTTTTCATTACATCAACCCATATGTCCACATATCTGCTCCGCCTCCCAGACTCCACTCTGGTTCCTGGAATTGTTATGTCAGTGATCCAATCCTTCTCTCTTTTACTCCCAAAATCTAGATATTTGTGTGAATGTGTGTGATTAGGAAGGGTAATAACTCTGGGGCCTGGCGGGAGCTGGGTGCTGAGAAAATTAGAGATTCCAGAGTTGCATTCACTTAATATGGAAAGCATTTGAATATTGCTACAATAGTCTCCGAAGAAACTGACCAGCAAGGCAGAAAAGAGTTGCGAGGTGGCGGGTAGAGAGGAGGTCTCTCAGCAGGACAAATCTGCACAGCTTCACATGTGCTTTAATCTTGATCTTATTTCCTGTTAAGAGAGCCAATTTAATTCACTTGAAGAAAAGCAGAGAGCAAGAGTCTTCTGAAACAACCTAGCATGAGGCTCCAATGATGTTATCATTATTATATTATCATTACATGAACTTAATAGTGTGTTATAGGCCTACCATTTTACTGGTAAAAGTGAAAAAGTGGTGGATGATGTTAAGTGGTGTGGTGGTGCCTGAAGAAGTGGCCCATTCACAGCACATACACCCTGTGTTACAAACAGTGACATACAAGAAGACTACTCTTTATTTATATATATTTAGCTCATCCAAAACTGGGTCAGTAGTATTTCAGACAGGGACTACATAAATATGCATTTTGAGTGAAGTACTCCTTATTCCCCACTCCATCTTCTCATGAAAATTGGACAACTCCTTCATGTCTTCGCAATCCTAGGAAGAAAAAAAAACCTCATTAACACTACTGAATAATGAGCATCAGAGGGGATGTAGAAGTGGGTATAACCAATGCCAAGTTGACTAAAACTGAACCCAAAATTAAAAGTAAATGTGGAAAAAACATTCTAGTTAACAGAAAATAAAATAAAAACTAGGCTTTAGAAAGAAATTAACATTAACTGTACTTACAAAACTAAACTAAAATAACATTATGAAGAAAACGCCTTTCGTTTTAGTCTTTGCCCTTTTGGTTAAATTTGTCAACACAAGCATGAGACTGAGATACATGAATGAGTCAACCGCCTTCCCAAAGTGTTGTGTTTGTATTGTAATATCTTTTCTGAACGTCTGAAATCTTGTCCCTGACAAATGTTATAATAAAAAAAAACTAAAAGTCACACAGAAACTAATTTAAAAAAAACTAATCCAAAACTAAACATTATTAAACAATAAAAACTAAACTGAAACAAGCAAACCAACTCTGGAAATTAAACTGAATTGGAAAAAAAAAAGAGAAAACTAATGAAAAAATACAAAACTATAATAACTCTGAAGCCGACTGACAAATAAGTAGGTGTGTTTACCTGCGTGTACCCTGCACTGATATAGACATATTATATATGTATATTTGGCACATAAAAGTGATCATGCATTGTGTTTGTGTGATTGTGTGATGTGAATAAAATAATCAGAAATAGTATAGCCTTTCTTCCTTGAGAGAACATCTGTGTGTCAATGCTTCCTGTGAGCAAACATCCTATATTTTGGAAAACTTTTTCCCACTTTTTGAAGGAAGCACTCGCTCTGGCTTTGAAGTGCTCTGTTTTGGTATGGCTGGGCCATATAGCTTTGATGAAAACCTCCACTGAGGGGCTGTGGGAACACAGGAGCCTCAGTTATTTATGAAATGAAGTGGCAGGAGTTAATGAACACAGAGAGAAAAAGAGAAGGAGAAAAGATTAATCAAAAAACTGTATGGTAGCAACACTAGAACAAGTTCCTGCTGGCTTATCAAGGATGCCACGGGAGATAAAACAATGCCACAGAAATAATGCAGCAGAATTAGCAGCCCGTGTACAGGAAAGCTACAGTGTGGTTGTAAAGAAGAGCCTAAAAAAGCTGAACTGATCCTGAGTGGCCATTCCTTTGTCCCGCTGCATACATAAGGCCTAGTGGTGGGTGGATGAGTGAAGTCACATGGTCACTTTTCCTTTTTCCCACACAAACACACCCACATCCTCCTCCATGCAGCCTCTCTTCACTCTTCTCCAACTCACTATTTACCCGCAGCGGGCAGCCTCTGCTCCGTCTGGATACTGTAGCAGCATCAAGTTGAGCTCTGCAAGCTTTTTTTTTTTTTTCAAAATGTATCCGAGCGGAGAATAACAAGACAATTACGTCCGCTTTTTTACTTGTATCCACATTTCTGGAGCCTCTGTCGGAGACATTTCAACATCCCACCGTCGGGAGTGAGCGTTTTGTTCCAGGTACATTTACTAATTACAGTAACACTTTCCCTCGTGCGTGTATCGGCTTTGTCTTTATGGAGCTCGTGCAAGTTTCAAAGTGTAACCTCGGCTCATAAACCCACCTTAGTTTTCGTACTGTAAATGTTTTCAAGTTGTAATTTGATGCCATGGCTGCTAAAAGTTTGGTTTTGCTTCAGTGTAGTAAAACTATTTCATTTCCAGGCCTAAGTTAATGTAGTCCTGGCAAAGTCTCCTGTATCCCTCCCCCCCTACGTCCAGGTAACACGGGCAGCACTAAAGGTGCTAACTGCTATTCAAAATGGCTAATTTGCATGAGGCCCGCCTTTTGTTTAGTGTTGACATTGTTTTACAGCATCTGGCTTGAACAGCAGAAGTGTGAGGACTGTTGCTACTTTCATCTCACACTTTATGAGCTGGCCTCCCATCTGTGTAGAGAAGAGACTTGTGAGAATGAGAGCAGTTGGGGTCTGTGAGTGTTTAGAGTTGAGATGTTCACGTTCATTGTTGCCTTATTAAACTGTGAAAAGTAAAAACTCTACTTGCATTATTTCCACAGCAGCTGTGACTAACTCATCCTTTGCAAATCAACTAGCTTTGTACTTGAAAGCAGCATCAATCATATTACAATGTTCTCCTCGCTTTTTTGTCTCCATCCCTGTAATTACATGAGTCACCATAGCACCCATACAGTATCTTTTTCTGTTAAAACAACACCCGTTGCCATGACAGCCTGCATGTGAATAAGCTGTGATGTTTGATCGCTCTCTTACAGATTCCAGAGGACAAGTAGCAGTGACAATATGAGTCTGGTGGAGGTGAGGCAGACAGCGGGGTCTCTCACCCTGTCCCTGTCCAGCAACGACTCCAAGGAGCGCTACTTCGACCGCGTGGACGAGAGTGACCCAGAGTACCTCCGCAGCAGGAACATGTCGCCGGACCTGAGGCAGGACTTCAACATGATGGAGCAGAAGAAGAGGGTCACCCAGATCCTGCAGAGTCCAGTATGTAGCCGGCAGCTCCATAAGTCCCCTCCTACACACAAGCTTTCACCATGGATGAGTAATAAGCAATGCTTTTAAAAGCCAGGGAGGCGTACCGTAGCTTCACATACGACTGACGGCAATGCACTGTTTTTTTTCTTGTTCAAGGTCATTTCATATACTCCAGCTTAGCTGTGAGTTTATTCTGGGAAATAATGCCACTGTCCAAGCTTATAAACGTTAGCAAAGAATTTAGTGTTACAGTTGAGCTGGGTTTGAACATTGACACATCAGTTTTCCTTTCTTTGGTGTCTGTTCCCAGCGTTATTACAGAGTAAGTGTACAAACCAAATGATTACTCGATTGACAGGAAATTAATCTGCAACAATTTTGACAATCGATTAAACAGGTAAGTCATTTTTCAAGGAAAAATGCGAACAGTCTCTGCCTGAGGCTTCTCAGATGTGAATATTTGCTGGTTGTCTTAATCGTGCACCATAATAAATCTTTGGGTTTTGGAATGATGGCTGGAAAAAAACAAGCAATTTTTGTGAACAGTTTGCCAATATTGCCAATATTCTTTGGTTCTAGTCCAAATAGTAATTTTGCACCTGTATGTAATCACAGACATTATCTCAGAGTAGTAAACCAAATAGATGATAAACAGAGCAGTGCAGTCTGGTTAGTACAAGGAGGTGCAATAAACACATGCCAATGAAGTCCATGAAAATAAGACGAGCCCACACTCATCTGCGATTGCATAACAGGCCCAACAAGTGGAGCTCATCTCATCACCATGGGAACCGTGGTCGGATGAAGCAGAATGCTGGAGCTTAGCTGCGGCACACAGGAAAAAAGTGCTGTTTCAAGATTCACAGGCTGCTCTTGAAGGCAAAAATTGATAGCCAGGTTTAATGCGATTCTCCCCCCCCCGCTTCTTTCACTGACGTACAAAGAGGTTTTTAGTGGTCTTTGGTGATTTGTGTACAGTTGTAATAAGGAGAGCATGAAAGCGTGCTGTGCTCCCTGACACTTCCTGAGGAGGTGTTGGAATGAGGTTAAGGTTAGGTTGTGTATACACGAGTTGCTAGGTTAATGGACCTTCAAGATGGTGTGTGTGTGTGTGTGTTTCTTGTTCTTTTCTCTCCTCACCTCACCTCACTATTAAAGAAACCTTTTCTTTTTTTGTCAACAGGTGTTCAAAGACGAGTTGGAAGGTCTGATTCAGGACCAGATGACGAAGGGCAACAACCCTACAGGTCTTCTGGCTCTGAGACAGATTGCTGACCTGGTCATGGCCAGCACCTTGGGAGGGGTTGGCCCTCTGACTTCGCCCATCAGTGAGTGGCAGTGTGTTTCGTTATTCGCGTGAATGTCTGCTATTATCTCCCTTCGGGCCTGATTGTCATTCAGTGTGTATACTCTGTCCATGTGCATTATGCAGGCTGAATATCTTCATTGTCAGAGGCTGAATTCTCAGACTCTTGTGACACTGAACAACCCTGAAACAGCAGACAAGGAAAAAAGTTGTTGACAGCTTTCTTCATTGTCAGTGTTTCTATTAAGTACCCCTCATGACCAGTCTTGGTAATGAATTACAGCAGTTTGCAATGCTAATTTTGTTAGCGTAACCTCTTTGCATTAAGTGTCTGGAGAGGTCGCAGAGCGCCCTGGAGCAGAAGAGATACAGTAAAAGTTTGGGAAATGTCCCTGTAGGAAATGGTTGGGAAGCCACCGAGGCAGATCTGCTCTTTTAAAAAGCTAAAGTGGCTGTAAAAGATAGGGTCCCGTATCATTAAATGCCCTTATATGGTATTACAGCCCAAAAATACCCTCCAGTTTCTTGTTGGGAATTCTGAGAAAGGCCTTTTTTAAGCTTCAGCTGTAGAGACTCAAGTTCCCTGGGATGTTTTATCTTCATATACTGTTGAGTATCGTGTAAATCATGTAAACATACTTTGTAGATGTTTGAAAAAATAAAAATTTAATGTTGTTGATGCATCAAGGGATGATGTTGTGTTTTGTGGCAGGCCTTGGGATGGTGACTCCAGTCAATGACTTGTACAGCATTGAGTCTCCCTCGTTTGCTAAAGGGGAGAAACAGAGTCGCTGCAAGCTGGCCAGCCTCTACAGGCTTGTTGACCTCTTCAGCTGGGCTCGTTTTACAAGCTCCTACATTACTGTGAGTACAACTTCACCTTCCCGCTCCACTGCACTTCTGCTTATGTATGCCACACAAGGTTTGTGTATCTTTATGTGAGCCTCGTCTTCTCTGGCTCCTGGAAGCGTAAAGGGGAACACCTCTTTATTTTCAGAAACTGTAGATTATTTATGCTTTCGAAAAAGTCACATTTATGAATATGTACGGCACCCCGACGGCAGGAATCTACACTGAAATATGTGATGAACACCTGCGGTTTCTAGATGTAAAGCTCAGATTTTCCCCAAAGACAAAGCCTGGAAAGTCAGTTTTATCAACCCACACTGATATTTCTCTGAGTTTTTCAGAGTGGAGACAGCTTTTGTGGTTCAGAGTTCTCTGTTCCCTTGAATCTGTGAAATAGGTCTCCTTGCTCTGAGCAGCTCACCCAGCTTACAGAACTTTTTAAGTGTTGAGATTTGGTCTCCCGTGGCGGCAAAGCTTTTTAACAGCATATTTTGACCCTGACAAGTATTTATGGGGGAAACACTTCTGCAGAAGCATCACACGGGTCAGAAATACATATACAGTATGTCTCAGACTCTCCTGCACAAGCTTCACAAACAGCGATCATACACTGCAGTAACATCACAGATGTTTCAGAATGTTGAAATGTACTCATGTTATTCCTTGTATTGTAACTCAGATAGATTTTGGATTTGAATAATATGTTGATTTTGTCTCAGGTGCGTGTCAATAAAGAGCAGGACCATGTTCTGATCAGTCCACGAGGTCTGTCTTTTTCTGAGGTGACGGGAGCAAATCTGGTAAGCACAATGGCTGTGTGTTTGTCTTGTTGCAAAAGAGATGAAAGGTGAAGAAGACTGCTAGCTAGTACACATAACTTTGCTCGCAAGAAAACTGTTAATGGTTAAGTCATTCTGTGTGTAATTATCTATAGGTTCAATGTTTACAATTGTTGTTCTTTTGAGTTCTGAAATAATAATGAGTTGGCTTTTCTTTTTTTGCCATGTGCAGGTGAAAGTAAACATAATTGGAGAGGTGGTGGACCAGGGTTCTACTGATCTGGGTATCGACCACTTTGGGTTTGCTCCTCATGCTGCCATTTACTCTATGCGCCCTGACGTGAGATGTATCATCCACATACACACCCCTGCTACAGCTGCAGTAAGTACGCTCCAGGCCAATAATAAATGAGCTTCATCTTAATCAAAGCATAAAGGCTGCAGCTAAAAGCTTATTTTGCACCAGAGGAAAAAGGCAGATTTAAAAGCAGCCCCCTGCATGCCTTGTTATTTTACATGCAGACACCCTGTAACGCGCTTTTACCATTTGCTTTGAAGCTCGACTGTAAAATGCACAGCACATGATGAACACGGCTGTGTAAAGTTTTATTTATGCCTGATGGCGAAAAATGAGCCTCTATTTAGAGGTTGGTGCGTCACCGTCTCAGTTGCTTTTATCCCATGTTAACAGGTGTCCTCGATGAAATGTGGAATCCTGCCCATTTCCCAGGAGGCTTTGCTTCTGGGAGACGTGAGCTGCTTCGGTTACCATGGCAGCCTGGATAATAAAGAGGAGAAGGTGGAGTTTCAGAAAGCTCTGGGCCCTTCTGCCAAGGTACCGTCAAACCAAAGGACTCCATTAGTGACAAGCTCACTTTCTCATGGGATAGAGTGGGCTGTTATCTTCTACTGTATGCACAGCTGGTTGTGTATGAGGTTATTTATACCTGTTGCTTAGTAAATAATGTGCATACACTAAAATATAGAAATAAAGGTGTATTACAAAAATGCATTGTTACTAACAATTAGTACCTCTTTTGCTAACATAACATGGACAAAATGTCAAAAATAGTTATTACCACTTAATTACTTGCATGAAGGGGACAGAATATCAGATACACCTTTTAATGGAATAGTTTTGGGAAATTTGCTTTAATTGCTGAGAGTTAGATGAGAAGTGAAAGCACTCTCATATCTGTCTGCTGAAGATGAAGCTAAAGCCTGGAGAGGATTAGCTTAGCATAAAGACTAGAAGCAGGGGCAAACAGGTCTTCTGGCTCTGTCCAAAGGTTAAAAAATCTGCCTGGGGTTTAGGGTTAAACTTGATTTTTTTTTTATGTACAGATCAAACAAACAAGACATAACATTATTACATTAATTAGTGAGCCTTAGAGGTGCTGGTGGGTGCTGGTTTGTTGTTGTTGGACAGAACTAGGCTAGTTGTTTTCCCCTGCTACCAGTCTTTATGCTGAGCTAAGCTAAACAGCTGCTGGCTGTAGCCGCGCAGCCTGGACACATCTGCAGTGCACGTGCGTTGCGGAACATCTTTCTTTTTGTTTTGGCACTCCTGTTCACAAGTTAGAGTGGTCACACTGCCCTTGTGAGCTGCACGTCTCACACACGTCTCTGGCGCAGCTGCAGCGACTCTTCACTAGAGAGCAGAGGTCTCGCCTTTTTGTCCGCCACACTCAAGACAGATATGAGAGAGGTTTTTACTCTCAACAGAAAGCAAATAGCCATATTATCTATTTGCACATAGAAACACCTTTTTAAAGTGTCAGTTTCACAAGGATTCATAGATAATCACCTGCCAGCACCATCCATTCAGCTTTTGATGCTCATATTTAAGGGAGACAGTTCTTTGTGTTTATCGTCACTCATTGCACATACATCCCTTGTTTAAGTCCAAAATTACTAGAAGGGCACAGTGAACAGTTCGTTTTCTCTTCTGGTGGATTTTTGCTTTAAGATGCAGAGGCCGCATAAGCACGACTCATGTGTCATGTATGTTGTTAAGGCAATTTTGCTAATTAATGCAAACATTAATTCATTCATTCACCTAAGCACGTCTGGATATGCTGATGAATACGCTCAGCTGGATTTGTTTGATAGTGTATCGTGGTGATTACAGTGGGCCATCAGGCAGCTCAAGTGTTTTTGCTGTGTTTTTCAGGTGATGATCCTGAGGAACCACGGGCTGCTGGCTTTGGGAGAAACAGTAGAAGAGGCTTTTCACTATGTGTACCACTCACAGCAAGCTTGCGAAATCCAGGTATAAAAATCCTCTATTCTTCTGCCTGATAACGAAATGCAATTGCACCATTCATGTCAGAACAATTTGTGAAGTCGAATGTGTCCTTGGTACACTTTTACACTTTTTATAAGCTAACTTCATGTCTATAAATCCCTTGTTTAATTTTTCACATTTTACCTGTCGAAGTGGGTTTTTTTTTGTCAGACTTGGTTGCTAACGGAAAAATAATACTGCAGTGCCTGAAATGGAAGCAAAGCCGATGTCTAACAATACAGTATGTTTGAATAAAGCTCATCGAATAAAGCCAAATATGTGCTAGAGAGCAGTGCTCAGTCAGGTGGGACCCTGCAGTGTTTCTGAGACACCTGTTGTTTTGTGTCGGGG